ATGCCTATGGTTCTTGTAGAAGGAAAGCTAAAGTATTTTTTAAAATAAGGGGAAGAATAAAACGAGCCCCCCAAGCTCAGCCACCCACAGCTGCCCTGAAACTCACTTCTTCTGTTAAGCCTTTCATGGGTGGTCCACCATTGAGCGCTTCCTCCTTTGAGCAAAGATGGCCAGGGAAAAAGATCCACAAGCAGGTGGGAATGAAGGGATGGGATAAAAGGGGGATGAGGGAACAGTGAACAGGGAAGGCAGAATAGGGAAAGAAATGAAGAGAAAGAGAAGAAAAACCATTGTGAGAAAGAGACAGCATGCCAATCTGAGTATCTGCATCCCAGCTGACCTATCTGCAGGGCTGCCTCTCCCTTTGAAAGGTCCCTTTGCATTTGCAACAAAACCCAGGACTTCTAAGTGCTCGACAGCATCAAAAAGGACTACCAGATGTTATCTTCACCCTCACTGGCTCTTCATTGGACCTGTTACCAAGAATTTATTGGAAAATATGCCTTCATTAGCTTTATCTACTCTTTATAAATTAGATATATCTGCTCTTTACAATGCCCCCACATTCTATCCTTTCAAGAGAGTGGAGGCAGACATGCCCCACCTGTGGCTGTGATGGTCACCTTAGTGGATATCAGAGTCACATGGGGGCTGATAAGAATGTGATGCCCCAGCCCCTCCCCATTCCATTGAATTCCAAGGTGGGGTCGGTTCAAGCTCCCGGAGCAATTCCACTGTGCGGCCAGAGTTGCAAATACTGATTTAAAGCCTAGTGATGATCCACACAACCATCTGCTAACATCTGAAGGGTCAAACTTCCCCACTTAAAACATCCAAATCTCTTGCATAAAAGTTCAAGGGTCAATGAGATTTGGGGTCCTAATCCCCACTCCATAGTGGGGAAACTACCTTAACCACGCCAACAGCCTGTAGCCAGCAGGGAACCTAAAGTAGGTGGGGAAGGGGCGAGCACCAAGGGCCCAGATCAGCCATCACCGGTCTGGCCAGTTCCCATTTCTGTGTCTCAGGTTTTTCTTCTGAAGATGGAGCTACAAATCCCCAGCTCCCAAGCACAGAGTGGGGATAACTTCCAGGATATGCCTTTGGGGATTTGAAATCCATTGGAGGGCAGTGACCCCTGAATCGTGTCTTGCGGGGGGTGGGGGTGTGTGAATTAAAATATGGTATTCTGAAAATGTTGAGAAACTTAAAGCATGCATTCTCTTGGTCACTCATCTAAAGAAGTGAAAGCTCACTTTTTCCCATCCCCTCCCCTCTCCTCTTCTCCCCAGCTTTCCCTGCCTTTCCTTCTCCCCTCCCTCTCTCCCATCTATCCATCTTTCTAGTTAGTGCTGGGAAAGGGGTAGGGAGAACACAGCCTCCTGAGGGTCAACTGTCATTCCTCAGATCCTAAAAAGATGACCTCACCAACTGAAGAACAACATTCTTTTCCACTCCCTCAAGCTTTCTCGAGTTTTCCAAGATTCTTAACAATTTTCCTCTTCCAGAAACATTAAAAGACTGCAGACAGGCAGACGGGGACTCTCTCTGAGGTTATTTTTGTTCTTTGTTTTTGGCTTCCATTTAAAATAGTCATAAGATTAAATAAAAACAATCAAAAGTGCTTTAGCAGAAAGATTTCCCATAAGGCTGTGTCAGTAGAAGTGTGTTACGTAGACACTTCTAACCCCGGCCTTGCTTAGACTTGTCCCCAGCTGTGCCCTCCTCCAGAGTCTGAACCCCAGCTGTGCCTGTGAGTGTCTGCCTGTGGGTGTCTGTGGGACAGGGAGGCGGTGGTGGATGAGGATCGAAGCCTCCCTCCTTGGCTGGCAGCATGCAGGCGGACCTGCCAAGTGTTCGCATTCTTCCAGGGAACTTCAGAAAAGGCAGGAAGTTTCAGGAATGCATCCAGACGTTACCAGTGGCCCTGTTTTCCATACTCTGCCTCACAACCAACATCTGTTGAAAAGCACCCCTCAGATGTGGGTATTGAAACGTGGTCAGGCCCAGCCTATCCCAGGAGCAGGGGCGGGTAGGGCCCAGACTGAGGGCACTTCTCGACCCGCTCTCCCTGCTGAGAGCTTTGGGTCAAAGGCGCTGGGCAGGCCCCTGCTTCCAAAACGACCCGCCCAGTGGCTGCTCTGGAAACAAATTCACAAAGCACTCCTCTGGGGTGAAGCTGCATGGCTTCCTGGGACCTTCCTCCTGTGAGAGCCTATGTTACCTGAAGAACCTTTGAAAGATGCCCGACTGGAGGCCACTAGGATCTACACAGTAGGGGGTGGAGGAGGCAGGCAGCACACAGGCCAGGCCGCCCCCCTCGCCTGTCCCTGGGGGCCCGCTCCTGGGGAGTCAGCACCAGGAAGCTTACGAGAGTGGCAGGAATTGCTTCTCTCCTTCCTGCCCTAGGCACCCTGGAGGGGCTCATTTCCCTCGGAAATTTTCTAAACTCGTCTGATGGCCCTCCCGCTGCTACTCCAGGTCATGACATTGCTAACTGTACAATCACCAGGGTAGTTTAAATCAAGAAAGAGATTTATGCAAATAAACGAACACGTCATCAACAAGACCCACTATTCCCCGTGCTGCTGGAGGACGTCGCTCTGGAGCGCTGCCGCCCTCTCCGGCAGCGCTGTTCCTTTCTTGGTGGTTTTGCTTTCCAGGAGCCGGTTCCTGGGCCCTGCCTCTCAGTTCCAGGGCCCCTCTCCCGACCGCCCCTCTTCCCCCTCTTCCCCTGCACCCCCGTGCTCATACCCAGCCCTGTGATCTCCAGTTACTGCATTCCCTCCACCGTAGGTGTCAAACATCCCTCTCCTGGACACACCCCTCTTCCCAGCTCACTCCTTTGGCGCCAGGACTCTGACTCCCTGGGCCCTCCAGGTCACTGACCCACCACCCTTCAGTGTCCACCACCCACCGCGGGTCCCCACGCCCCTCCTGGCCTGGTTCAGTGTTACGCAACGTCACTCGTCACTCCTTCCTCTACCCCTCTCTTCTCCCCTCCACTGTCCTCACCCAGGGACACCTCCATCCTGGTTACACTCCCCTCATAACTCCACACCTGCACCGTGGTGGCTGAAAGCCGCTGGGGAAACCCACAGCGCTGCTGCACAAGCAGGTGCCATTCCAAAGGCAGGGCTGTGAGCCCGGCCACTCCCTCCTGTGACTGTGGGTGAGCTCTGGGTGCCCAGAAAAGGCCAAGTCCTCTCTCTCATTCAAGGCCATGGCTCCAGCAACCACCCCCTCTGCCCTGGGCCACTCCCTTCAATGGACAACATGTAAGTGCTCCTGTTCTGACCTCACTTTCCCAAACACATCTCTCCCCTGTACAACAAAACCCCTGTAAAACAGAGAGGACCTGTGTTACCCTCTTCATATCCAATGTCTCCTTGACCTTCGCCCCCACCACTCGACCTTTACTTCTCTAGTCAGGGTGGCCAGGAGCCCTGAAGGCTCTACCAGGCTCTCCTCGGGCCTCCTCTTCCGTGACCTGCAGCCTTTGCACCTGCTGTTCCCTGTCTGGGATGCCCCTCCCCCAGACACCTGCCCAGCTGCCCCCTCCACCTCCTCAGAGACACCTTCCCTGACATGCTATTTAAATTTGCAAACCCTTCCTGACTCTCATCACTCTCCATTCCATTTTCCTGCTTTATTTTTCTCCACCAACGATCATCACCCATCACTACATAGAACTTCCATGAGAACAGAGCGTTTTTCTGTTTTTCTCTCTCTCTCAGATGCCCAGTCCAAGGACAATGCCAGCCATAGGGCAGGTGCTCAAAACACACTGTAGAGTGTACACTGGACAAAGTATACTAACAGCGATTCCAGAACTTCAAGGACACTAAGGGAAATGTCACTAAGGGAAATATATATTTCCATTCTCTCTCTGGGACAATTTTCTCTTCTTATCCCACAGTGGGGATAAGGCATGGGACCACCATGGTTTTGGAGTTTCCCAGGTTGACTTCTGGTCCAGAGTTGCAGCAAAGCTAGAGGTTCATTCTGGTGTTCTAAAAAGCCAGAGGGTCTGAATCTTCTGCCCACCCAGCCAGCTGCATCCAGCCTTTCTCGGAAGCAGGGCACTCAGAGGAGCTCCAGGCTTAAGGTGGGACAAGAAGTATAAGAGGTGGACACCTGGGAGCCAGACCCTGAGCAGAGGAGACCCTCCCATATCTCCTTGTGCAGACAACACGCTGCTTCCCTGACCTGCCAACATCCCGGAGGCAGCAGGATGGTCCCCGCTGGCCAGGCAGGAGAACCAAGCCTTGTAGAAATTGAGGGATTTGTCCAAGGTCACACAGGCAGCATGGAGCCAGCTCTTGAACAAACACCTACTGAGGATTTCCAGTGACAGGCAAAAGTATAAGCGAAAGGGTTGCTGCCCTCAATGGCTCAGACTCTACTCAGAACTCGAGACTTCCAAATCTCGGCCCATGGTCTTTCATCTGAGTCGGCACTCCACCCAAGACCAGGCTGCCGCAGATGAGCCTGAAGGGAGTGAGGCCGGCCTGAGACTGGTCAGAAGCCTCCTGTGCCTAACAACTAGGTGCAACACACAGAGCCCTGGGGGACTGCCGAGGGACTCACGTCTGTGGCTGCCAACAACGGCCTGTATTTGAAATCAGAGAAAAGATTCACAAGTTACAGCCTTCTCGTTGTGTGCATTTTAGATAAACCACAATCCCCAGATCTTTTCTAGGACATACGGAGGACGGGGAATAGGGCACACGGCAGGTAGTCAATAAATCTGTGTTGTATGAATTGCACACTTGCCCAATGGGGCAGGACAGAGTAGAGGTGGGTTAGAGGGTCTGAGAGGGGCTTCCTGCATGGATCCCATGCTCTGTGGCTGGGACCATCCACACCAGCAATCTAGGGCAAGGCAACCAGACGCTGTCTGGATTCAGGGTCCCCTTATCCCCCTCTCTGAGTTTGCCCTGGTCCCAGCCGCACCCCCTCACCCACCGCCCCACCCCTGCGCCCAGGGCAGCGCGCACCTGGGAGATGTGGGACTGCGTTTTCTCACTCTCGCCGTCACCCTCCGTCTTGTCTGTCAGCAGCCCCTGCACCTGGTACTCGAGCACGTAGCTGTCGATGAAGCGCTCCAGCTCCTCGATCTCCTGGGAGCGGCTGCTCCCAGCCTCAGAGGAGGCCGACGCCGCGGACGAGTTCTCCATCCCTCCGGCCCAGGGGCCTGGGGCAGGGCTGCGGGAGACAAAGAACAAGGCTTGGTGAGGCAAATCTGGAGGCGGAGACAATGCCCCCGTTAGTGGGAAGCATATGCTGTAATACCCCTGTAGGGAGAGGCAAACTGAGGCTAGAGAAGGCAGGGAACTTCCCTAACTGACAGTAACTTGTGTGATGCTCCATATTGGTCCATACCTAGACCATACCATACGCAGCTCAAGGACACAGCTGGCACATGGTCTGCCCATCAGAACTGGAAGAATGGTTGTCTGTCAAACCCCTGCCATCAGACACACACACACACAACCCTGAATAATGTGTGCATGAGGCTCCGAGGCCATGAAAGGCTGTGTGCGCCTAGTCTGTGACTTGGTAATAAAGACAAGGTCCTAGTGTGTTTCAAAGAACGTTTGAATTTCAAAACCTTGGGTTACTGAGAACTTTTTAAGAACACAGCTATTGGCCAACGATCAAGGGTTTGTTGAGGCTTTAACTAATGGACCCAAAGCAGGACAAGGAATGGCCCACTAGGTTACAGAAACACTGCCGAGTTCATGAACGCTGACTCCCCCATGCTTCCTAGAGGCTGTGTTGGCGATGGGGTGCACACACCTTCTTCAACTGGTTTCTTGACTCAGTTGTTTGGGTTTTGGCTGCTGCAAGGAGCCCAGCCTCCCCTGGGCCCCAGGCCAGCTGCAGGGGAGCTGTGCGGGGCTGTTGGGGGTGCTTAGCACACCCACCAAACACTACGATAGCACCTTCAAGGCCCATCTGGCAACTGGTCCGATCTCCAGGTTTAATGGCGGCCAGTGGGCAAAGGATTCACCCAGCCATGGTCTACGGGCATGAACACTGAGACTTCTACTAATAACTGATGGGTATTGCTCCCAGGTCATGTGCCAGGCATTCTTTTCAGCACTTAATATGCCTTCGCCCACTTATCCTCATGACAATACTATGAAATCAGTATAATTATACTGCTTAGGAAACAGAGGTTCAGAGAGGTTAAGTAACTTGGCCAAGTGAGCACAGCAGAGCTCCAGATCCGCCTACACCTCACTGCTTCTCCATCCCATCGGCCAGCAGCCTGCTCAGGCCCTCCGGACGTCTTCCCCCTCTGCAGCCCCCACTGCCCGCCCAGTGCACAGCGAATTCAAGTGCTGTGTGTGTGCTTCTTACTCTGCACTGGGGATGCTGGGCCCTGGAGGGCTGGGCCTCTGCCTCGCTGCTGGCCTCAGCCGATGGCTGGATAAGATTGCCGTCCAGACAGGGCTGACAGGAGCCGCCTGCAGAAAAAGGCGGCGTGAAGGCCAGGCCTGTTTTTCCTCAATGACTTCAGATCTTATCTCGGGCTTCCTGGCGCCCGTCACAGGTACGGGTGGAGGACTGGGTTTAGCAGAAGCTTGAAGGGAGCTTTTCCAGGAGGGTGGCATGCCTGGCTCTGCCCCCAGCAGCAGCCTCTGTCCTGTTCTGCGTGGCTCTCCCAGACGCACATGGGCCTCTCCCGGGGCCACACCTGTGAGGGAGCCCTAAACCCACGCTGGCCTCCTGAGGAAAGGGACAGGCATTGAGACCCACTCCCACCGTGCAGAACATGGGTGGCCAGCAGGAAAAAGAGGACTCGCCCTCACTGGACACGTGTCCTGGACACCTGTGTCACATCCTCTCAGCTGCCCTTCTAGTCCAGTTACTGCTGCCCACTCAGAGCCACCTGACGGTCTGACGGTGCCACTGACTCACGCCAGCGGATGCCTGCAGGGACCCACCTGGCACCTGGGGCCTGTGCTCTGGAAGTGTGAGGAGCTAACACGCCTGGGCAAACACTTTTTCAAAAGGTCTCTCAGATGATAGTTCTGAGGTGCTGTCCCACAGTGGTGACCAGATCCATATACCCCTTTGCCTGGCTCTTCCCTCCCATGTCACTCCCTGCAAGGACTCCTGCTCCCGGGGTGCTTCCAGGATCTCTGCTTTCTGAGGGGAAACCAGGCTAACCTGCCACGTGGGCTCCCTTGTTCATTACAGGAGGAGTCCCAGGCAGCAAGCCGGGAAGGCCTCCCTTCAACAGAGAAGCCCAGCTTTATCTCTGTACAAGACAGGAGGGAGAAGCATCGACTGACTGCCTCCCGTTCGCACCCCGATGGGGACCGAACCCGCAACCCAGACATGCGCCCTGACCGGGAATCAAATCTGCTACTTTCCAGTTTACAGGATGATGCTCCAAATGAGCCATACCGGCCAGGGCTACAATCAGTTTCAAGCGCACAATTCAGTGGCATTAAGTATGTTCACAATGGATGTATAACCATCACCACCATCCACCTCCAGAACTTCATCTTCCCAAACGGAAACTCGGTGCCCGTTACACGCCGACTCCTTACTGCTCCTCCCCGAGCCCCTGGCACCCGCTGTTCCACCTTCTGTCTCTGTGACTTTGTCTCTGCTGGGAACCTCGGGGAAGTGGAATCACACAGCATCTGTCCTCTTTTGTGTGGCTTATTTCACTTATCATAATGCCCACAAGGTTCACCCATGTGGTAGCACGTGTCAAAATTTCACGCCTTTTTATGGCTAAATAACACGTTGTATACAATAATGTAGTATACGTATAGATTACACTACATGTTTTGTTCGTCCATTCACCCACCTTGGTCTACGGTGAGTAATGCTGCTATGAACATGGCTGTCACGTATCTGTCTGAGTCTGTTCCTAATTCTTTAGGGTGCGTACTTAGAAGTTCTGCCCCATTTTTAAGGCAAAAAGAGTGAGGAGGCACAGAATGAACTCTCAGGCTGGTAGAGACATAGGGAAATAAAGGAAATCTTTCCTCGAGGGTTGGTTCCACTCCCTTCCTGCCTGAGCTTTGAGGTGTCTTCCTAGCTCAGTTTCCCATTCACTGCTGGAGCAGGATGGGAAATCCCCAAACAGCTGGGCTGCTGGCTAAGCTGAGAGTCAGCAGGAGGAGCTTGTGCTTTAATGACCAGTGAAAGTGATAAAGGAGATGGGACCAGAGGAAGAAGAGAGAGGGAAGAAGATGGAAGCCAGGAGACACCTTCACGCAGCCATCCAGAATGCAGAGCCCCATCCCAGGGACCCGCCCCCCCTCCCCGCCCTGCCCCCAAGCCCTACCAGGTGATGGCTGTGGAGGAACAAAAGGGAAGCAGCAGGAGTGGGAAAGCGCTGAGGCCGCTCTTTGCCGTAAAGGGCAGGCTGCCCTGGGCCTGCAGGCAGGAGGGTGGGCCTGGGTGTGCAGAAGAAGGAAGGGTGGGGGGCTCAAGGGCCTGTGCTGCCCGGTCAGGCCGTAGGCCCACTTACAGTTCTCTGGAGAAAGGGGTGGCCCCCACACTCCTGCTGGTGTTGTTAAGGGACCTCGTCCCAGCCCCAGGGGCCCAGGGCACCCTCTGCAACAGCCAATCATGTTGTGTGCTTGTCACTACGTCCAGGTGAGCCCAGCTGACTATTTTTAAGGCCAGAAACAAAAACACCATGTCCTGCCTGCCCAGAGCCAGGTGAATCTACCCCTCGCTGCCCTCTGCCCAGACTGGGGCGGCTTCCTTGCAATCAGCTTTCAGCAAAGGTGCTTCTGCTGGCAGCATGGGGCTCACCGCTTGAGGTCAGGAGTCTCTCCCTCCCCTACCTCTGGGCTCTGCCTGCCTTTGAGTCTGCTACCATCAGACCTACAGGTCTGGAAGACAACAGAGGGCCCAGAGGCAAGAAGCTAGAGCCTTCCCAGGTGGCTCAGCATCCTTTCCTCCTGCCCAGCAACAAATGGCATTAGTAACTATAAATTTGACCAATCCCTTTAAGAACAGCCAAGGCATTAAGAGGCATTACCTCCTCCCACAGTTCCCAGGATAAATTCAGTGACCTGCAAACCGGATGAGAGACTTCTGCTTCTCTGCCACCAGGCCTTCCCTAGGGAACCCACCCTTCCGGGCCCTGAGAGGGGGCAGCACGCACCCCTCGCCCTTCATCGGACCTTTCCCTCAGGCCCGCACCCTGCAACTCACCAGGCACCCTACCCCTCTGGGACCTTACAGAGGAAGCCTGGGAAGGTCTCTGTTTCCGCATTCCTGACTCCTTTCTGCTTCTCTTATGCATGGTTTCTTGGGGTTTTTTTTGGTTGGTTGTTTGTTTTTGCTTTTGGCTGCTGCAGGGGCCCAGCCTCCCCGGGACCCCAGGCCCGCTGCAGGGGAGCTGTGTGGCGCGGTAAGGGGGCTTGCTCTGGGCTCCTGAGCTCAGTGGCTTTGGGGCCCGTGGGTCAGTCCACCCCTCCCAGCAGGACAGCAGCTCTGCAGATGGAGGTAGGCGCCCTGAGCTGTGGGTGGACAGCAGGGCCCAGCACGTCCCCATGGCTCATGTCCCCACTGCTCACCTCATGTGGAATCCCGCCCACCCCGCCTTTCCCAGGGCCCCTTCCCTTGCCTCCTGCCACAGTACAGCCTCGCTCCCCCGGGCTCCCTTCCAGCAGTTGCCTCCCGGTGGCCTGGTTACACACAGGCCATCCCCTCGCCCCGTCCCACCTCTACATGGTGCTGGCGACTGACACCTTCCCCCAGAGCCTGCAGCACAGCTGTCAGGCAGGGCAGGGCCAGGCCGCGGCCACGCTGCCTGCTGGGAACAGAGCGCGCCCACAGCTCTCTCCGAGGGAGCCATGGGAACCCCCCTCACTGTGTCCGCCGCCAGCTCAGCCCTCCAAGTCCAGCCCACACTCCACCTCCTGCATAAATGGGACTCCAGGGGCAATGCCTTTCCCTTACAACTGCAGCCCTGTGTTCAGCCATCCCTGTCAGTGGTGATCTGAGGACTCTGGGACGTGTCAGTGTTTGCCAAAGAAAAGCAGAATTCCACCGATGCCTCCACAACCAGGAGCCTGAGGTCCCCAACCCCTCGAAGTGAGAAAGACCAGAAACTGGCAACATTTTCTGTCTGAGGAGTCCAGGACACCTGGTGTCCTCTAAATCGCTGACTCTCCCCACGCACACACTAGTATAATCCCTTGTCACTCAGATATCAGACA